AGTGTGTTGATGGCGATGGTGATCGCGATGACGGTGATGGTGATGATGATGGCAATGATGATGGCGAGGGCGATGGTGATGATGATGATACTGGTACTGGTGCTGTTGAGTATGATGATGGTGACGGTGATGGTGATGTTGCTGTTGGTGGTTGGGGGTGATGATTGTGATGATGCTGATGATGATGAGAATGTTGATGATGATGATGAGGAGGAGGACGACGATGATGATGCTGATGATGGTTTTAATGATGATGACGATGATGGAACTCGTTTGGGCCGTCTTTGGGCTGTGTTGACCCCTGTGAGGCAGTCGCGGGGGTCCCTGGGGGCCTTATGGGGCCGTCTTGGGGCCCTCTTACGCCAGCCTGGGGCTATCTTAGGCCATCTTCGGGCCCTCTTGGACGCATGGTGGGTTTATGGGGGCCGTCGTGGGGCCGTCTTGTCGCCGCATTGGGCCGTCGAAGGGCCCTCTAAGGCTGTTTTGGATCCCAAAGGAAGCCCTCTTGCTAGTCTTGGGGCCGTCTTGGATGCATGTTCGGGCCAACGTGAGCTCCTCTAAGGCCGTCCTGAGCTGACGCAGCCCAGAAAGGCGAGATTGCTAAACCCATCTACACACATATTCCTCTTCCTATATTTTTAAAAGCCCGGGCGGGGGGAAAACCCGCCCCCCCCCCCTCCCCTAAAACCAGACCCCCGGGATCTGCAGCTTTGGGACCCTCCGGACGGGCCTCGAAGCGGCCCCCTGGGCCTCGCAGGGCGTTTTGCCAAGCTTTCGCAGCACACCCAGGGCGATCAGGAGGGTCACTGGAGACGTCCCAGAGACCCCCAAGACAGCACAAGAGCGCTCCAAGAAGCCGTCATACCCCGAAAGATCGCTCCAAAACGTACCAAGAGGCCTCCAAGAGCACCCCCAAGAAGGCCCAAGAGGGAAAAATCATTGATTCTATGTAGGTTTTTGGTGCATTTGGGGTTCTCCTCTTTTCGGCTTCCCGACGCTCCAAGACGGCGGTTTCCTAGGCGTCCGAAGCCGCCTGGGAGGCTCCAAAATCGCCCCACAACCATCCGAAAGGGCTTCCAGGCAGTCCAAGAGAGCCCCAAAACGGCACAACAGGGGCCCAAAATGGCCCTAAGAGAGCACCATGGCGGCCCAAGATGGCCCCAAGACACCCTCTGAAGCATTCCAAATCGTGACTGGGGTGTTCAGGGAGACCGCGGTTAGAGGCAGGTTGGCCTTAGGAAGGCCCAGAGGCCCCCAGAACACACCCAGGAGGCCTCCAGAAGGCTTTAAGAAAGCCTGAGAACTTGGGTGAGACCCCCAGAGGCTCTCCAAGGAGGAGCCTCCGCAAAAAGAGCTGAGGAGGATGGGGAGAATGCCCAGGGTATGGCGAGAATGAGGAAAAATAAGCATGGAGGAAGGACAACGAACAACATTATTAGAACGGAGATACCAGAAAAGGCAGCAAGGAGTTATCGCTAAATTGTCGGCTTGACCTTCCTGCCATTTCCGCCTGCATACCAAACTCCAAGGACCAAGGTGCACGGCGCGAAGCGCCACTGCAGTCTTGTATATATATATATATATATATACATATATATATATATATATATATATATATGCGTGTGTGTATGTATGAGCGTATGTATATATGAACAAAAACACGAACAACAAAAAAAACACCCTGGATGTTGGCTTCTCCAGGCCATGTTGGAGGTCCTCTTGTGGCCATGATGGGCTCTCTTGGAGGCTTCTTGGGCCGCCTTGAATGAATACCCGGCCGGCTTGGGGCCATCTTGGGCCGCTTTCGATACGTTTTGGGCCATTTTGGTGTCATTAGTTGCTTGCACGGGCCGTATTGAAAGCTCGGGACGCATACCCATCGCTCTTAGCAACGGATCGCGGCTTAGGAGGCCCTGGAGCGCTTGGGAGCAGCGCCTGGGAATCCAGGACTTGTACGATTTTCGAGTGGGCGCGCGGAGTTCGCAACCGGGCGGCGGGACGTGCACAATGTTCGTGCGCGCTCGCATGGAATGAGGGTTCAGGCATTAGCTGCCATGCGGGAAGTGCACCATCCTCAAGCAGGCACGTGCGGAAAGGGAGTTCAAGCATTAGCTGCTATGCTGCAAGTGCACCATCTTCGAGCAAGCACGCGCGGAATGGGGGTTTGGACATTTAGCTGCCGCGCTGGGAGTGCAGCATCCTCGAGCGGGCACAAGGGAAGTGGCCCCAGAAAGGTGGGGGGTGCACACAAGAGTCTGCGAGTAGTGAGGCGGAGTGATCCCGCAATAGAATCCCCCCCACTAAAAAAACGACCAGACAAACCTTGGCATGCTTCCACGCCTCAACGTGCCAGAGGGCACGATGACGGACCATAATGTTATGCGAGCGCGTTGGTGGATCGTTGAAAGGGGGATCGTGATTGCAGTTGTCGTTTCGGTGAGGGGGATCGAGCTTGCAAATTCGGTTTCGTTGGCAGCTGGCGGGGAGCGTTTGTTTTCACAACGGGGCGGGCAATGTGAGCTTCAATTCGTAACTCATCGTTATGAGGCTTGCGCTGCCGACCAGATGGGCGTCGTGGATGAGGAAAAGCGCCGTCTTAGGACGAGAATTGCTTTGTGTTGTTGGCCTAGTTTATGCATTCACATAAAAAATCATGATAACAGTAATGTGTATCAGCCTGGACTCCAAACAGTCCGCTTGCAATCCAGGTGGTGCAATCTAGGAGGTGCTACACATGTGCAACCGATGCGGTGCACAGCAATGCCACGTAAAGCAAACCAATGCAAATCAATGCGAAGTAATGCAACGATGCGCAAGGCAATGTATCGCAATGGCAATAAACGGTGATTGCAGCGCAAAGCACAACGCAATGCAAAACAATACACAGCCATGCCCAGCAATTCAAAGCAACGCAATGTAATGGCATGCGATGTCATTACAATGTGGTTGCAATGAGCTTGTAATGCAACGCAAAGCGATGCAAAGCAATGGAAACCGGTGGAACACTATGCAAACCAACGCAATGCAAGGCAACGCAATGCAAGGCAGCGCATGGCAGCGCAAAGCAGAGCGACACAGAACCATGCCACGCAGCGCAAAGGAAGACAGACATCAGAGCAGCTGCACTGTGATCTGCACTGGAAAAGTGATGCCAAGCAATGCGGAGCGATGCCGCGCCACGCCGTGCGATTGCAACGACTGCAAAAGCACGACGGCAGCGACGCGGCAGCGACGGGCCGCCACGAGCGAGCGGGTTCCGCCACGCGGGGCCCACCCCGCCAGCGGCGAACGGCGGCAGCGACGGGCGGCGACGGGCGGCCTCCTTCGCCTCCCCCCCCTCCTCCTCCTCCTTCTCCTCCTCCTCCTCCTCCTCCTCCTCCTCCTCCTCCTCCTCCTCCTCCTCCTCCTCCTCCTCCTCCTCCCCCCCTCCTCCTCCTTCTCCTCCTCCGCCTCCTCCTCCGCCTCCTCCTCCTCTTCCTCCTCGGCGACGCGTGGCGACGGGCGGCCATAAGCTGGCCAGACCGCCATTGGAGCTCAGTTGCTTCGCTCGGGGGCAACGATAGGGGGGACAGGCTTAGGGGGGGGAGCATCGACACCCAATTGCCCACTGATCGCCGATAAGGGCCCGATAGCCCCAACCTGCCCAGGAAGGCGCGGATTCACTATCGGGGGCATGTCGCCGATCTATCGGCGATGTATCGCCAATTCCAGGTCGATGTCTTCCCCCCATGCCAGTTCCCCCCCTATCGGAGGCACATCGCCGATCTATCGGCGATGTATCGCCAATTCCAGGTCGATGTCTTCCCCCCTATGCCAGTCCCCCCCTATCGTTGCCCATCATATCGAAGGGAAGTCAGAGCCCGTTAAGTGCAAGCACTGTTTGGGGAGAAGAAGAATCGATAATTGGGCACGGCCGTGTCTTGCTCATGCTTGGTCAGAATTCCCCAGGGCCCGAAGATCGCAGAAAAGCAAAAGGCTGTTATGTTCTCCGCCCCTGAGGGGGTTGCGACCAGGGCTCATTTCCAACATCGTTTCGGAATCGCCTTCAAAGGGCCCCACGACGGCCCCGGCCCCGAGAGATTCCCAAGACGGCCCAAGGGAACCCTGGGAGGGGGTCCAATGAAGGCCCAGACTGTCCCACGCAGATGTGAGGTCTGCGCCCCTAGAGGGTTCAAATTGATGCTCCCTGTCTCGTCAGGATCCCAGTGGCACTGGCCAAACGGGCCACTGAGAGGCCCGAAGAGCGAGCATCCTGGGAGGACTTCACACTGCCCCAAGAGGCCTCCGAGAGTCCTCTTCATCCTCTGCCTCCTCCCGGTCCACCTCCTCCTCCTCATGATCCGCCGCCTCCTCCCGCTCGTACTGCTCACGGTCTCCGTTTTACTGGTCCTCCCAGTCCTCCTCCTGCTCGCCCGCCTCCTCGCCCCGCCATCTCGATCATCTTGAGCTGGGAATGGGTCGCTCGAGTTTGCACCTGAGGTGGAGCGATGGCAAACCTGACCTGCCGTCAACTCGGGGTTAATCTGCAAATCGATGACCTTCGACGCGCACGGTAGGTTCGGTTGCCGATCACGCCCCGTCAAACGTATGTCATGCACGCTAGTGTCAGATTCCCACTCGACGGAGGCCCGATATGGTTCGCCACCATCAGCACCACTTACATGTTGACCGATGTGTCCTTTTCAGACTGATCGTCCTCCTCATTTTGTCGTTATGCTACTCCTCCTCCTCGTTATTCGTAGCGGATGTCGCTCCTCTGTCCCTCTTCCGTCCCCTTCCTTTTTCTCTTCGCCTCCATCCTCCCCCTTGTCCTCCTCCCTTCTCCCAGGATGTACTCAGACCCTCAGAGGTTCCCCAACGACGGAACAGCATCTGCCTGTATTTCGTTTTCATTGCACGCGGATGCTTTTGAAGAAGTGGCAATTCCCCTTAGTGTCAGGCAACTGTTGTTAACACCGATTCTTGTGACAAGCCACGTCTCACATATTTTGTTGTCAGAGGTCGAGATCGCACTGAGCACCCCTGGCTCCATCCCTAACGACCTCAGCATGACCGAGGCGTTGTATGGGAATGGTTGGGAGTGCAATGACGTCGCAGCTGAGATCATAAAGGAGATCATCAAGATGGGTCCCCACGACGTCGACGTGGAACAACAAGTCAAGAACAACCTCCGCATATGCTACATCAAACAAGGCGGAAAGAACACTTGGAGAGATGGCAAAGGTATGGGGATGCACGCGAAGCATTTTATCATTGACGACATTGCGTATTACATCGGCTCACAAAATTTGTACATTTGTGACCTGGCAGAGTGGGGTATTTTGGTCGACGATGAACAACAGACGAAGAGAGTCAAAGCCGAGTATTGGACCCCGATGTGGGAGGCCTCGTACATTGAAGCTCCTGATCGTGACTGGAACATCGAAGCCGCGATGGATGGGAGTCGAAAGAGCAGAAATGGCGGTTGTTGGAGTTGCCTGCCCATGGCTGACAGGAGGGACGCGATCAGGAAGGCTGCGGGATGCCAAGGCAATTCAAATTTCCGCACGGCGCACTGAAAGCCCCGCCAGGATCTTTATCGCAGTGACCATGGCGTACACGCTGTACCGGCCGGGCATGCCAGGATCAGGATCCCCATCGGGATGCCGATCAGGATCCATGTGAGGGTTGCGTTTCTTTGCCATACGGTGCGGGCGTTCGTTCAGGAATGTGCCCAGGATGCTGCAGACCCTGGAGGGCTCCTTGTCCGAGGAGGGCGGCGGAGATATCCGTGGCCATCCACGATGGGAGTTCCACCGGCTTCCAGGCTCTGGATTTCTCATCCAATGTTTCTCGGGGGCGGACAAGAGGGGGGTGATGACTAGGGGGGGGGATATCATGGCGGGGTCCATGATATTTCCCCAGATTTCATGGCGCCTCTTCTTGTTTCAGTACGTCCCTGGCCCCCCCGCTGGGCCGCGCACGTGCCGCCGGCCATGATTTGCACCCCCCCCTCTTGGACACCCCCCTCTTGGCCGCTCCCGAGCCTGGAGGGGGACGCCTGGCGGCTCCGCGGCAGCCGGAGGGTCCCGTGCAGCGACTCCGCGGCGGCCCCGGGCAGCACAAAAAGAGGCCGTGGGGCGGCGGGGGATGCCGCCGCTCAGCGGGTCGCGCCGCCGGCTCTGCCCCCGCGGCGCCTCGGCGCGACGCGCGGGCCACGTCGCAGCCCCCATGGGGGCTGCGACGTGGCCAGCGGCACCGCCCAGTGGGCTGCTCGGGACGGTGCCGCCTGCAGGCGGCACCGTCCCGAGCGTTTCCATGGGCCCCCCGCCCTGCGGAGCGAAGCGTCAGCTGTCCGCTCGCAGGACGCATCGGGCGAAGAGAACGATGCACGTGCACGAGTCCTGGCCAGGCCCATCCTGGGCCCCAGGATCGGTGCATATGTCTTCCTGGCCAAGGCAGGAGGGCGTGTGCACCGACCTTGGGCTCAGGATGGACCTGGCCAAAATCGGTGTATGTGCATGGTTATTTTTCCTCTAACGTATGCGTGTCGCCGGGGCCGCCCCCACGATACGCTGAGCAAAAAGCTCCTGACCGTAGGCAGTCGCATCGCGTATGTATTCATGGGTCCCCCTGCCCGTGGAGGGGGTCCTTCTTCTGGCCCTCATGAGTCAGGAGGGAAAAAAAAACAGACACAATTAATCGTGCACGCCCCAGAAAATATGGGAAAACATGGGAAGTGGGGGAAAGACAAAAACCCGGACAAAAATATGAAAATATGGAGAATCCTTTTATTTGTGTGTACTTATTTGTGTGTGTCCCAGGGCCCCTTCAAAGAGGAGGAGCAGGAGGTTGGAAGCAAAGGCGTAGCAGCCGTGGACAGCAGATGTCCGTGCAAAGCAAAAGGAGGCAGCGAGCACGGAGGACCCACACGGTAATGATCCATTCGCTATTTCTGGAGCGCGTCCAATGGGCGTCCAGCTGCACGCGGAGAGGCCCCAAAGATTGTGGGTTCTGCAGGTCGAAGCGGTTGTTGACACTGCGTTGTGCCACATGCCCGCGGGCGTCACGCTGGGAGGCAGCACTAGCAGGGAGCAAGGCACCATGCCCCTGGTTGTTGTGCTGCCCTCAGTTCGAATAGCGTACCCATCGGTCGGGATTCCAAGATTCCAATATACTTTAAGTGCCTTCCTACTTCAATGATCGAGTAGCTTCCCCTCTTGCCTCATCTTCAGGGGGCGGGCGGAGACCCAATCTACTGTCAGCGCCTTCTACTTCATGTTTCTACCTGCTTCTTCCGACCGATGGGTAGAGCAGCGGTTTCTTTTGGCCGTGACCAGAGCACCGTTGGTCAACATGTGTGGGGGGGAACTCCGGGGTCATAGTGATGTTGCTGTAGCAGAGACAGGAGGAGATATGGTTCTGCACGGCGCGGGAAGCAATTCTGTTCCGTCTCATCTCGTCAAGTTCTTTCTCCCTTTGGGCCCGCAAGACCAACGAGACCCGAGGGCAGGTGAGGAG